AAAGCTGGTAAAGTGACATATCTGCGCTATAACATGATTAGCTTTTGTCATTAAATAAGTTAAAGCTATTTCTGCTGGAGAGAACGCTAAGATGTGCCAAGACTGGGGAACATCAACAGGGGAGATGGCAGAGAGGTCTAAAAGCACTTAATTCTTTGGCAATACGCTCACAAACCCGTTCCTGTTCCTCCCCTGCAGAAGAGCTGCTACCACAGGGAAAGCCTCCATGTTTTCAAAGCTTCCCTCCTGCTGCATTCCCTCCCAAGTTGTATGATCTCCACAGCTTCAGACACTCCCAAATGGAAACACTTCTCAGGCAACACCGCTGCTCTTCCTCCCCTTCATCCAGCCGTGCTTTCGGAAAGCGCACTCCTGAACTTGGAAAAGCAGAGAGCAAGAACACCTCTGAGATCTCAGCCCCGCTCCTCCCCTCCTGCCCACCTCTCGCCACTCCTTCCCCTTCTTGACCAGAAGGCTCCAAACACCCTTCCAGGCGAGCAGCTGCCGCTGGCATCTGCAAGAAGACTTCCAACCGTGCTCTCATTCTAGCTCCAGTTCAATGTCAAAGCTACCCAGAGGCCGAAGTGGATCCACCTGAGGTGCAGGGGGGCCCAGCACTTCACACAAAAGCCACCAGCATGCTCTTCAAGCTGACTTTAATGCTCAAGCAGCTTCCTGACCCCTGGGTCTTCATCTTCAAACCCATCACCAGCTAAACTCCAGGCAGCAGAGATGTTGCATCACACGCTCCAGAAAGAGGTTCTTGTAATGGAAGTAAGCAGGGAGGAAAGACGGCACTGGGGGTACCACAGCAACCCAGAGACCCTGATCCTTCAGTGCGCGCTGAAGATGCTCTCCTTGGAGAGATCCTTAGGCACTTTCCCCTCCAGCTCAACTCTCTGCTCCACTAAGAGAAGACAGAAAACCCCACGCACCCAAATCCTCCTCAACAGCCTTGATTTAACCAGAACATCATCAACACAGGCCTGCTCCAATTGCACAACCTGCCTGCACCCGTACACCAGGTAAGTGCGGACAGAAACTCATCCTTGACTTCACACACAGTCTCTTGCATTCCCAGAAGTGATCCTGTATCTCTTGCAGTTATCCCAGGCTTTGGGAAGCTGCTCGCATCCGGAAGATGCCACTCATCAGAGCAGGAAGCAACACACTGCTTTCAGAAAGGCACTACAGCACCGTTAGCTAAAACAAACCCAGAAGAATTAAAGGCAACACTCAAGTACTGAGGCAACATCAGCAAACCCCACATTTCCATGCACAGAAACAAAGTACCTCACATAGAACCCCCCCTCCAAACACTGACCCTTCCTCTCTGCTTCTCAGCAATGGAATTAAATTGGAGGAAGAAGGATTTTCAATGACTTTCTGTTAAAACCCACCCTGGAACCACCACAATCACCTCGCTGCAGTAACCCAAAAAACATGCATGTCCAGGGATACCCTATCCCACACTGAAACAGCCACAGTGTTAGATTAAGGTCAAGTTTACTGGTCCCTGCACAGAGCCCATCAACAGCCAGAAAGCTGAACTCCCTCCAAACACAAGGAAGTTTGGAAAAGGAAACAAAAACCTACTGACACCAGCCCATGATGGCTCCAACTTGGCTTCCAGGTCGAGCATTAAATTAACCCTGCAGGGCCAGGACACATGGAGCTCACCCACGTCCACCAGTTTGTCCTTCACAGCCCAATGTTTGCCCACATCCAGGCCAGGGCTGTGAGGAAACCAGTGACCTGATTATACCAATCCAGAGAATTCATTCTCAATGTGGAGACTTTGTAAAGAGCAAGCTTAATGCAACACACACAAATCCTTCAGAGTGAAAGTGTGAGGGACAGTAAAGAAACACACTGCAGCTTCGTATGTGTCCCAAGCAGCACCAAGTGAAGAATACAGAGGGACCTTCCTTGACATTTTTATGGAACAAATCTCACTACAGAACAATCAACTCCACCTGGAACTGCTTCTTCAGAGGCATTCGAAAGCCAAAGCAGAGGTGGGCAGGTGGGATTTATTGTTGGTGATATCCCTCTTCAGTTACACCCTTCTCATCCCCCCAGACAAGGCTCACAGTGTCTATGCTGACAACTTCTGAGCACAATTCCTGCCTGAAACCAGGTTCAGCTGAACACTCGCCACTCCCACAGCTGCAGAATTATCCCAACTTACTTGTACAAGGGGAATTTACCTTCTTGAAGCCACTGATAGAAGGAATTTTCTCAAAGCTCTGTCTTGTCTTACAGCAGCTCCCATTAATTTCCTATTCAGCACATAACACAATGAAACTCCCATCAAAACATTTCTGTTCATGTCCATCACTCCCCAGCTTCACTTCCCTTCAAGAAATGTACGTATTTTTTAATCCCTTCTTCCCCCTGTATTTTTCTTCTCCTTTCCACAAATGCACATGCTCTTTCCCCACACAGTTCTTTGCCTCAGTTACACAGATAACATTTCATTTCACGACATATGAAGTACTAAACCCACACGTGTTTCCAAAGACACAAAGTTCACCACATGGAAGCCCAACTCCGAGCCTCATCCTACCTATTAACATACAGTAATCCTTCACATCAACAAATAAACCCTTGTGCTGCCGTGAAGAGGAGACCTCGCAGTGCTCTGCTCGCTCCGAGTCGTCAGAAGCAACCTGCAACCGGCCTGTGTCTGCTGGAGGAGAACGCTGCTGCCTCAACAGTCGGATCAAAACAGAAAGGGAAAAAAAAAGAAAGAAACCCAAGAGAGCTAAAAATAAGGCTGAACTCGGATGACCCTCTGCACTCCAGTAAATCAGAGCTGAACTCTGCTCCCCGCGCTCGCTCCTGCGAGGTAACAGCTTTTGTTTACTACCTGGAAGCCAACAGGAGTTGCAGCGGAGGCTCAAACTCACCAGGACATCCCAACACCTAAAAGGCACCAAGAACACATGGAGGGGTTTGTCCACACCACAGGCACAGAGCAGGGGTTTGTAAATTTACCGTGGGTTAAACAGTGTGTTTTCAAACAGGAATGGCTAGAAATAAATATCAGACTTTATTATTTTAACCTCCTCACCTTTATAATGCCAACCCCTCACGTCTACCCTGTACTCTTCCATTCCTCTCTATCTCCTGCTCCGAGGGTCCAGCTGGGTCCCCGAACACCTCCAGCTCCTTCGGGATCTCGCATGCTCCTTCTGAGCCTTTTTACTTTCAGGCTGCACTCAGATGTAAGCCCCAGCTTCACCCCTCATGTGTGCAAGGCGACTTGTGCCAACACCCACCAAAAGCCACGGCGTCCGCCTGTCTGAGCTACAACAGCACAGCCACTCTCACAAACCACCACCACGCTCACCCCCGACCACGGCAGGGAAGGATTCAAGTCCCTCCACAGTGTTTTTACTGAGTCCTTCAAATCAAGCTCTTGGGAAAGCCCAGCACACTCCTGATCCTAGAGCCTGGCACACCGCAACTGCCAAGGCACCCAAGTGTCACATTCCCTGTTAAAAGAGATCCTTTCCAGACAAACCAGCACCTTACAGGGCAGGTCAGCTGAGCACAGGCTCACTGGCCGGCATTCCCACTGTAACACTTGGCACATCACTCAAAAGTGAGCAAATTTCCCCCTGAGCAACAGTTTTACTCACCACCAACCCTGCTGACTCTGCAGTGACAGCACCTTCCCACTTAATTCCTTCCCCCCCTAAAGCACAGGCTGGAATTCCAGAAGAGGACCCAACGGAGAGTGCGTCCCTCCGTGGCACTCCGAAATCTTGGCGAGGCTTTTCACTTGACCCAAACAAATCCGGAACGTCAACAGTCTCATGATTTAAGCAACGCATTTGTTGTCATGGCAAGACCGATTCTTGCCGGAAGCTCGAGAAAACAATGGCCCTAAACTGATTAGAGAAGGGCTTGGTTTTCCCACCTCAAAAATGAAAGTGAGAGCAAGAAGCCGCTTGCACACGGGAAGCACTGTTCTTGAAGAGCACAGGCTGGAAAAGCCCTCAGCACCTAAAACACCCTCTTAAAACCCAAGCTGCTGCCACCGACCAACAGCGAAGCACCCTCTTTGGTGCTGCCGGCCCCGACACAGCCACACCATTCCTGGATAAGGGCACATTTCCCCCAAGTGTGGTTTACACTTCACGCTTCCCCCCCCCACACACACACACCATTACAAACTCCAGTTTGGGGGGCAGGAAGAGAAGAGCCAGTTTGCCAGGGGATGCTGCGGGACGGGAACAAAACCTCACCCCACTTTCCTGCTGATCCCTGCAGTATTTCCCTCCTGACTTGGGGCCTAGTGGCAGCAGCGAAGCAAAGACCTTTAAGAAACATTCGCCGCCGGCCTCTCTTTGTAGCAGGGGTTGTTCTGCGGTGGGGTTCCTGCCGCGGGACCCTTCCCTTTCCCTTCCCCACCACGCGTGTGAAGCTGCTCTCAAGCACCACGTTCTGCCCGCGCCTCATCCGCACCGGCCGCGGAGGACAAAACAAAAATGGCCATAAAAGAAAGGAATCCCAGGAAAACCGGCCCCCGGCTGGGAAAACCCGCTTGGAAAACAACAGAGCCAAAGCACTTACCTGAGAGCACCGCAGGTACGACTGAGGAGGGGTGCGTAAGTTTACCCTTGGGGGTCACCGCTGCTCAGAGGGGGGGGGGGTGGAAGGGGGCTGAGGGACCCTTTGCTTCCCCAGGGGAAGGGGGTGAACCCCCAAAGCAGCCCATAAGCAAAGGGGGGAAGGGGTGAGGCACCCCCTTTCCCGCACCACCCCAGCAGGTGCAGCCCCCCCTCTGCAATGGGGGGGCACAAACACACACAAACACACACAAAAAGGAGCGGGGGGCCCCAACCGCCACCCCCCGCGGGACGCCCCCTCCCCACACACACACCCCGGGGCTGAAGGGGCCCCCGCGGCCCCGAGCCCCCCCCCCCCGCTGTGGGGAAGGGGCTGTCGCCCCCCGCCTCCCTCTCCCCCTCCCCCGGGGCAAAGGATACTGCTGGGGCGGCTGGGGCGGCAAGGCCCTGATGTTGGGGTGAGGCGCCGGCGCCGCCGCCGGGTGAGGGGGAGCCGGGGGGGGAGGCGGCCCCGCCGCCGCTGCCGCCGCCGCCCCGCTCCCGGGGCCGGTCCCCGCCGCCGCCGCCGCGCCGGGTTTCAAAGCCGCCTTCTGCGGTAAACTCATCGCCAAGCGGAGCCACCACCCCCCGGCGGGGAGCGGGGCCGGGGCCGGGGCCGGGGGGGAGCCGGGGAGCGGGCCGGGGGCCGGTACGGCGGCCGGGGCAGCGCGGCGGGCCGGCACCGGCGCCGGTCTCCGTGACAACGCGCCTCCCGGAGGGCTCGGCGCGGGGAGGGGACGGGAGAGGGGCCGGCGGGGAGGGGAGGGGGGGAGGCGGCTCAGGCCGCGCTGCTCATGAGCCGCCGGCGGCGGGGGGTCTCGGTCCCCCTCCCCGGGGGCAGCGGAGCCCTTCGCGGTGGCGGCTCTCGGGCGATGCCGGCGGATTTTCCTCACTGAAGTAGCGGAGCATCAAACATGGCGCTGCGGCCGCCTCCAGCAGTCCGGCAGGACGGACGCTCGGGCGCCTTCGGGCCGCTCCGGAGCCGCTCGGCCCACCGGCGCTCGGCAAGCTTCGGCTCTTTCCGGAACCGCTTGCTAGCGAGCGGCGTTCGGGAAACCTCGGCTTCTTCCGGAGACCTTCGCGGGCGCACGCGTACTCCGCGCCGCGTTCTCCCCTCCCTCCCCTCTCGGCCCGGCACCTCCCGTGACCCCCGCGCTCGGGAAACATCGGCTCTTTCCGGAGACAGGGGGCGTGAGGGATGTCGGGAAACTTCGGACTGACTCGGATGAGGAGTTCCCGCCCAGCCGGGAGGCGCTCGGGGCTTTTCGGAGCCTCTCGGCAGCGGCGAGGCCGCAGCTCCGGGCGCTTTCGGCTTGGCCCGGCGTGACTTCGGCAACGCTCGGCTCTGAGGGAGCAGCTTGCAGGCGAGGCGGCACGGAGCCGTCAGCACCCACCGCACGGCCGGCCCGGGACCCTAAACTGCCCCAAAACCTCATCCCCGGCCCCATTGCCAGCCCGGCGGCCCCCAGCCACATGCCAGGCTCCCGAGTCGGCTGGCAGGGGCAGCACCGCAGCCCCGCACAAGAACACTGTCAGCTGTGAGAGAGCCGCCTTGGCAATGGACAGGACGCAGGGAGGCCCCTCAGGGCCGCCGCTGTGGTGACAGGCACCCCACCGCCACCATCTCCAGCCCTTCACACCGCTCACAACCACCCCCGGGTTGAGCTCGGCCGAGGCGAAGGCGGTTTGTACCATCTCGGGGAGATAAAAGGGACTTCAGAGCGGATCCCAGCAGCAGCCGCATTGTCCTGACTTGTCCTGCCCCGCCGCTGGCTCCGCAGCGCTCATTCCAGCCGCCTGGCACCTCCCGGCCTGCCTGCAGCGCCGCACGTCCCAGGGAGGCGCTCCCAGCGCGGGCAGGTATCGGCACCCTCGGCCACCAGCCAGGGCCACACCAGCTGCCCCATAGAGGTGCTCCGCAGCTTGTTTGCATCCCGGCCCCTCCGTGTTCTGGGCAGCTGCGGGTTTAGGAGGAAGGTAATAACTTAAAGTGGTGGCAGATAAACTGTTAGAAGGGAAAAGCTTCCTTTATTGCAGTAAGCAGTTCCCTTGGTGGTGTGTTCGGGCACTTGGCAAGGAACTGGTGCTGCAAGTGAAAGCTGCCGGAAGAAAGATGGGGTTTTAGTGTGCAGGACCCCTGCCTGATGAGTTGCCTCTACTCACATCTCCCCAACAGCCCGGTATGCAAACAGAAAAGTAATGTTGTGTTTTAAAACACAAAGGCTGAGAAAACTGGGGCTATGGAGCCTGGAGAAGAGACCTCAGAGCAGCTTCTGGTGTCTGAAGGGGGCTACAAGGATGCTGGAGAGGGACTCCTCATCAGGGACTGTAGGGATAGGACAAGGGGTGATGGGTTCAGACTGAAACAGGGGAGACTGAGCTGAGCTCTTAGGCAGAAGCTCTTCCCTGTGAGGGTGCTGAGGCGCTGGCACAGGGTGCCCAGAGAAGCTGTGGCTGCCCCATCCCTGGCAGTGCTCAAGGCCAGGTTGGACACAGGGGCTTGGAGCAAGCTGCTCCAGTGGAAGGGGTCCCTGCCCGTGGCAGGGGTTGGAGCTGGGTGAGCTTTAAGGTCCCTTCCAACCCAAACCATTCTGTGGTTCTATGATTCTGTTTAGTTCCCCTTTCTGTGCTCTTTGCTCTGCCCTTGGGTAAGGGAAATCCCTGAGATAAGGTGAGCTCACATCTACTTCAAATGGTGTGTGGAAAATGGGGTGAAATAGAAAGCAGTAAGTTGGGTTTTTTTGAGGGTAAAAAGCCTTGCTGGCCTGTAAAGAAGTCCTGAATGGGCACTAGTTCCACCTGCAGCCAGGAACTAACATTTAAAGAGGGCTCTGGGTACTTTTTCCCAAGCCAGTTTCCCTCTGCAGCCTGCTTCCCCACCAGGAAAACTGAAGAGAGAAATGGAAAGGACCTCTAAGTGCTCTCCCACTTCCCAAAAATGGGAGAACAAAGGAGGAACTTTCATCATGGTAGGGGGGTTGCCTAAGGACAACCACCATCTCCAGCCACCCTGGAGAGCCTCTGCCCTGCAGCACATCTCAACTGGCTGCACCCTGCTGGGAAGATGGATCCCCCTCCACAGCTCATGAGCCATAATGACTTGTGTGGTCTGGGGGTGTCATTGTCCAGCACCATCCCATGGACCAGCTCCCAGGCATGGCACATCTGGTACCCCCCAGAGCAAACTGACATCCATGGCTCCCTCTGTTCCACAGCAATAGCTGCTGTAAACACAGCTGTGACGAGCCTCCCAGCCCAGGATCTTTAGAGAAATCACCTCTTTTTGCCAATGTCGAAAGGAAAAACCAGCATTTTCAGGATGGTATCTGCTGAAGCATGAGGCATGCGATGGAGCCAGGCTCCTGGCTCTGCTCCTCCAGAATCTACATCCTCCCCCAGCCATCTTTTACCATCTTGTTTTTTTCCTGCAAGGAAAAGCAGACACATCTCTGTTCTGTACTACCCCACGTAGGATGATTTGGCCAACAGAACCTGCAGTTTTGGCGAGCCCAAGCAAGTGCCAACTGGATTCACACCCTTCCTACCGCCTCTGGCTCCTCTCCACTTCGGTTTTCCTCCCATTTTTCCTGCTAACTTTATTAGCACCTGGGAACTGATGTGTCACCATGGGCAGCTTGAGGTCACAGTGCTGAACTCTTGTTCCACAGCATCACCAGCCCTTTTGCCAGTCCCACCAGTCTCTCAGGTACTTGGGCACAGCATCAAGTACCACTCAACCATGAGGCAAAGAGTGTAGTAGGAACACCAGAGCTGTTGGTGAACTTGGGGAAATAAAGGATTGGGGTGTCACTGAGAAAGTGCTGTTTTCCTGCAGGGATTGTGATAAAGAGGAGAGCATAAAGCACAAAGCTGTGGTCCTGAGATCAAGTAGGACAGATAGCCTCATGGCTGCTTGGCTCTGGGTGAAAACCACTGCGGTGAGCAGGGCCCAAGCTGTGAGATGAGACTCAAACCTGCTCATCACCTCCCATTTGTTGGCCTCTTTCCTTCAGGGAGGTCTGGTTTTGGTCAGGGAAGCTTTAGGCCGTGAAATCTGATGATCCCAGTAGGTTACCCCAGACCCGTTGTCATTTGTTGGGGATTAGATCCTGCGTTGAGGGAGCAAACTGGGAAGGAGACTTTATAACAGTCTTCTGACACCTAAAGAGGCCAACAAGAAACCTGGAAGAGGGGCTTGGGACAAGGGCCTGTAGGGACAGGTCAAGGGGAATGGCTTGAACCTGCCCGAGGGGAGACTGAGCTGAGCTCTTAGGCAGAAGCTCTTCCCTGTGAGGGTGCTGAGGCGCTGGCACAGGGTGCCCAGAGAAGCTGTGGCTGCCCCATCCCTGGCAGTGCTCAAGGCCAGGTTGGACACAGGGGCTTGGAGCAAGCTGCTCCAGTGAAAGGGATCCTTGTCCATGGCAGGGGTTGGAACTGGGTGATGTGTAGGTCCCTTCCAACCCAAACCAGTGTGTGATTCATGAGTAGAGCAGTTCACATGGGTGAGTGCAGCCTCTAAGGCTGCCTTGGCCCCACCAAACCTATGAACAAGCTCCATTTCCAGCTCGTTTTATGGTTCTAGCAAGCTCCATGGCAGCGCCTCCCTCTTTGGCCTTCTCCCACCTTTTCCCCCACTGATCCCCTTCCAACACCTTCCAGGCAAAAACCGAAAACAACATCAAACCCCCGTTGCCAGCCCTGCTCCGAGCATTCCTCGTTCCTGTTCCTGCCCAGGCTCAGCCCTCGGCAAACGTCTCTGCCCTCGGGACACGGCTGAGCAGGGAGTAAAGCAAATACCACCCAGGATCGGGCAAGCCCACGGCAGGAGCTGGCACGGGAGTGAATGATTCACCTCCTGCCTGCTCCGCCTCCACCTCTGCCTCCAGAGAGCCAAACACCCACCGAGGCAAAGACCATCACTCCAAGCCCACCACAAGCAGCTTTAACCACGACATCCCCCTGCCACAAACCACCACCAGTCTGCTGTCTCGTTACAAAGACACGCTAGAGAGCCAAAATACTTCCCTTTTGGATGGTTAAACCACCTCTATCAGCATCCTACATGGGATCCATGGGCTATGCTCCTCTCCCTGCTTCTTTCCCTACACCTTTCACCCCAGCCCCGCTCTCCCTTCTTCATCGCTCTTCACTTTGCGGCCACACCGCTCCTCTTTTCCTAGGAATTCCACCTCATTTTGGGCACCCGGGGCTAGATCCAGGCTGAACCCCAGGGCCGGTAGCGCGGCTGAGCCCTGCAGCCCCGGGAGCCAGCAGCGCAGGCAGCGATTCCCTCAGCTCCACCGCCCTCTGCGGGTCTGCAGCACTATTTCCAGCCGGATCCCAGGGAAATCCAACGGCCACGGCTGCGCTCCCAGCTCCGCAGGGAAGCGAGGGCCCCACACCGAGTCCTGCGAGCAGAAAGTAAGCGCTCTTATTCCATTTGTGACTCAGTCTGGGAGAGAAAGCACAGTAAAATAGGATGAGGGAAATGGCACCGCCGTCTTTATGCAACACTTGCATCCCCAACTCGCTGCTGGGCTCAGTCCTGCCCATCCCAGCAGCAAAACCACTCTATATCCCCAAAAGCTCATTACCAGCGGGGTCAAACCAGGGGGTGCAGCCTAATTCCAGTCCCTGATAATGAGTCAGGGTTAAATAGCAAGTGAGCACCCAGGATTTTACTTGTTTTATGGCCATCATCTCCCCCAGGCGCTGGGTGAGGCTCAGCACACAGCCTGCGGTCCAGGTCCTGCCTGGCATTTTTGGGGCAAGCCTGATGAAGCCATGGAGCATCTGCTTGGGAATGAATGTTGGCCTGTGTTACCGAGCTGGCAGCGTTCAGCAGCATTGCAGGGCTATAAATAAGGCCCTTTGGAGAGGAACCTGCACAGCCCGGCCAGCCAAAAATTCACCCAGGAGGAAACAAAAAGCATCCGGGAAAGACCTCCCTGCTGGAAGATGCGTGGGGCCGTGCCATAGAAGTGGGAAGCAAACACCCACCTGCAGTAAGAGTGAGGGTTTGGGGCACAAAAGCTTCACTTCAGCCTCCAAGAGAAGCAGCAGACACAAGCTCAGGCTGGGAAAAGCCTCCTGGGCTTGGTTTTGGCAGCATGGGATGGTCCCAGTGGTGTGGACAGGGATTAAAATGTAGAAAAAGGGATGCAAACCTCCTGCTATCAGAAATAAAACAAGTCATGAGCAGCTCCAGCCCAAGTAAAAAGTATTTATTATTTCAATAACAATAAGCCCCACATATAGGGTGAAAAAATAGTTACAAAAAAAAAAACAAACAACCCATCCTTCCTTTTACATATAAATATTAAAAATCCCTCTACAGCTTTGCAAGAAGGTGCCCCACGAGACAACACGCAGCACCTGAGCTACTGTCAGTGGTTTCCTCTTAAAACTGCAAAAAGAACATTACAAATAACCCTTACGAAAGCCCCTTGCCCCCATCCCAGTGCCAACCCGGCCATGGAAGGATGAGGTTTGGGGCCAAGGGGTGATTTTGGGGTTTGCAGCTTCCCAGTATAGAGGCTGGGTACGGCAGAGCGCAAAGGAGCAGCAGGAACCGCCTGCACTTGTCTGGGGAAGCTTTTGGGGCAGGAACTCATGGCTGAGCTCACTTCAGAGGGGACAGGAGGGTGCACCCACAGTCACCACCTCGGTGACACCTTTGGCACGCCAGCTTGTCCCTCTGAAATGAAAGCTAATCCCAGGAGCTGCAGCAGAGCCTGTGCCCTGCAGCATCCTCCAGCCCTGTCCCCAGTGTCCCCATCAGCATCCCCCAAGGACAGTCCCTCCCAGAGAAACCAGGATGCAGGGCTGGATAGTTGCATCCACAGCCCCATCCAGCTTCACCAGCAGAGAGCCTGTCACCACAGGGTGCTGCACCTCCAGCTGCACTGAGTAAAAAAGAATTAATAAATATACTCATCTTTTACTTAAAAAAGAAAAAAAAAAAAACAAAAAAGGCTTTTAAATGCATTTTCCCTGAAATTTTCCAGTGTATTCCACAAGGCATGAAAAAAATAGATATTTGCCCCTCCCCCAAAAAATATATCTTAAAATATTTTCCATCCTCATGTGCGCATCTTTGGAGAGAGGAAGGTCCATCGGGTGCCTTCAGACACGCAGCCAAACCTGCCGGTGCCGTGGGATCCCTTTATCACCTCCGGAAATGAGGAATTTGCCGGGATGGTGGGTCAGGCTGGAGCACTACGCAGGGTAGTGCCCATGGACTCGTGCCTGGACACATGGCCCGGTCATGGTGGGGAAGAAGAGACCCCCAGGTGGAAGTCATTCCACAAACGAGCAAGGGGATGAAGGAGTTTCACAGTGAATGAAGCTCGGATGATCCTGGGAATGTGGCTGAGAGCTGGGCAGTTCCTTGCGTGGAGAAGTGGTTTGTGCCTCTCAAAAGGACCTGGGAAATCCAGCCATCGGATGAAGCAGCCGGTTCCCTCCAGGCACTCGCCCATCACCAGACTTCACATTTCTTGGAGGGATTCATGGGGGAACCGAGGGGGCAGCTGAAATGCTCCGCAAATTCCTGGGAGTTGGAGACGGTGCCGATGACCCGGAATCGCGAGGGGCTGTGGGGGTCAGTGATGAGCCCCTCGTGCGAGCTCTCCGGCGTGCGAACCGAGCACCACACCTGCAAATGAGGGCGACAGGCACCAGTGCCAGTGTCTGCATCCATAGGGCCCTGCTTGGTGCCAAACTGGACCTCCCCGATTCCATGATGGACACCAGGAAGACGGAGCTCCAGCTTTGTCTCACTCTAATCTGGTTCAGCATCTCTAGAAACCTCAGGTCTTGCCATCACATCCTTCCAAGACCATCTGGACATGCCTCCACTCCCCACAAACCTATGTGTCCACCCCTCCTGCCCACCACCAAGTGACCTACCTGCGCGAAGCCAACAAAGAAGAGCTGGTTGTTGGTGAGGCCAAGCGTTGGGAGGGTTTCCTCATCCCCATTCTTTTTCAGCCAGTTCTGATATGCCTGGAGGACAGCAAGCTCAGAGGACACCACTGATCCCACCACACTGTTCCCCACACACCTCCTCAGCCCCACAGCCCTACCCTGTAGGCAGCCTTTAGGCCCCCGTTGTCAGCGATGTTCTCCCCAAGGGTTTGCTTGCCGTTGACAGCCTCTCCATTGATGGTGTAGTTGCCATACTGCTCCACCATGCACGCTGTCTGACGCTTGAAGGCCTCTACCGAGGAGTTCTTCCACCAGGGACGCAGGTTGCCATCCTTGTCGTATTCCCGGCCTGCCAAAACCACAACAGATCCTTCATCACCTCCCTGGCCACCCCTCCTGCGGCCCATCCGCCTGGCCCTGGCCGTACCTTGATCATCAAAGGCATGTGTCAACTCATGGCCCACCACCACACCGATCCCACCAAAATTCAGCGACCTGCAAGGAGGCGATGCTGAGGTTTAGACAGCAGCTGCTGCTTCCCGCAGCCTTGAAACTGAGCCTCAAATGTTAGGACCAGAGGATATTCGGGAATCCTGCCCTCCCTGGTTTCCACAGGCTCTTACTTGGGAGATGCACGTGTGTAAAAAGGGGCTTGGAGGATGCCAGCAGGGAAGACAATCTCATTCTTGGTGGGAGAGTAGTACGCATTGACCGTTGGTGGTGTCATGCTCCACCTGTAGAGACACGGACGTGGACAACGTGGCTGCATAAACCCATCACCACCACTTATCATAATGCAAAGCCATCAGCCCAAACTTAACTCCCCGAAACCAGCATGGTCTGGTGGACACCAAATCCTAGTGCTATTCCCTGCTGGGCACAACAGGGAAGCGGAGCAGAGGACTTACTGGTCCCGGTTCGGTGGTTTTCGGAGCTGGTCAGCGGTGACCCTGGCCGAGAAGTTGTAGAACTGCATGACGTTCTCAAAGTAGAGGTCGGATACAGCCTCGTACTGCAAGAGAGCAGGGCATGAGTAGTGTGTGGTGACCACCCAGCCCCGCTCCTCCCTCCATGGTCATGTCTGAGCCTTCAGGCTGGCTGTTACAGCCGCTCTTGTTTCTCCTCCTCTCCCACATCTGTGCAGTCTCAAGGGGATAGTGAATCACCATTACGGAAACCGGCTCCTCCTCTTCCCAGCAGGGATCCCGAGAGCCCCATCCACCCCCAGGCTGGGGCAGAGCTCTCCAGAAAGCCCCCCGAGAAGGGCCAAGGGCATCAGTGAGACCCTTCAGGATGAAACCTGGGACTGTGGTGATGGGCACATCCTGCATGTTCTAGTGGAGTGGGGAATAGGAGACCCAAGGGACATATCCGACCAACTCACATCATTAAAGACTTTATCCAGCTCCTTGGGGTCCATGATGAACTTGGGGTAGCCAATCATGTTGTAGATGGCATCTGCCTGGTGGGGTGACAAGGACCGAAGTGCTTTTGGTGGCAGGGGTGGAAGGGCAGACTCACCCAGCTCCACCATCCTCCACCACCACCCTCTCCTCCAACTGCTGCCCACACCTCACCTTCTCTTTGGCCGATTTCCTTGTCTCTTCATCCATCCACTGCAGGGTCTCCAGACTCTCCTCGAAGGCTGTTTTAATCTCTGCAATCATTTCCTCTGCCTGGACAAAACAAGGCAGCAGTGTTGGTCCAGAGCTGGCCTCCCACCTCAGAGAGATCAAGGACCCTTCACACCAGCAGGGAGGCCGAGATGGAATGTGGACCAGTGAAAACCCAGCAACTGCAGATGTCCAGTGAACAAAATAAGGTGGATAGAGAAACAGCATCTGCCCCAGTGGTTCCACCATCGTGCTGGCTTTCCTGGCACTGGGACCCCCATGGGGGACGTACCACTTGCTTGCTGTCCTCGGCAAAGGTGGCCTTGACGAACATGGCCCCCAGGGCGAAGCCCAGGTTGTTGTCAGTGTCACTGATGCAGAACTTCCAGCGCGGGAGGCAGGTCTGCATGGGACAGAGGTGGGCATCAGTGATGGCACAGCCAAAGCCCCTCACCTTCACACCCCCTTGCCCTGCCAAGAGGTGAGGTCCACATCCCTGTGCTGGAGCTGCCACCCCAAAACCCGCCCCACACCTCTCTCTTTTGGGTACAACATGACAAGGTCTTGGTTTAAAAAGCTGTCACCAGTTTAATGGTGATGTGGGAGCACTGGGAGCTCCATACTCACCTTCTTCGTCCCATACATCACTTCCATGAATTTTTCCTCAGCATCCTGGAAGCGCTGGTCGAGGAAGGGGCTGGTTTTCCGCACCAGGTTCCAGATCATGTAGTTGTTGAGGAGGCTGCAGCAAGAGGCAGTGAGTGAGCAGGGGGATGTTCCTGCCCATCCTGTGCGCTCTCCATGAGGGCTGGGGGCTCTCACCATTTATCTGTGGCCAGGATGAGGTCAGAGACCTGCTCCAGGTACTCCTTGGCATAGACCACGACGGGCTCAGACTCATTGAGCTCCACGGGGTAGAACACCGTGCTGAGGAAGGGCATCCAGTCCACGGCTGGTGCCAGCTCCTGCAAAAGCCATGGCACTGCTATGGACCCAAAACCCATCGATGCAGCGTGGCAAATGCTTCCCGAGCTGGAAGCGGCTGCATCAACCCCAGTTAGAGGGATTCAACTGATTTGAAGAGGCCGGTTCCCATAGCAGCAGCAGCCTCAAAAGGTCAGAGAGGAGTAAACAATTCCCTTCCACAAAGGAAAAGAAAGTGGGGCAGGTGTCAGAGATGTTGACACAACCCATTAGGGCCCCTTTGGGGATGCGGGGAGGTGACCAGGCTGGTGTCCACAGGCAGCAATGCCACAGCAGGGGTGGTCCGGAGGCTGGAGGAACAGGTCAGGGTGGGATTCCCCAAGGAGGACATGGGCCAAGCCGTTGCACAAGAGCTTCCCAGGCTGTGTCAGGCTTCCTCAGAGAGCTGCATCACCTCTCCCCACTCCCTCCACTTCCCAAACCACAGTGGAGCAGGGACACTCACCAACTCCATCCCTACCTTTAGGTCTCCAGCTGTCATTTTATGGTAGATGACCTCTTCATCACGGTGCTTCTCCTGTGGGATGGTGATGTTGGCCAACGCTGTCTCAAAGTCCAAGATCTGCTGCATCTGCTGCCGAGTTGACTCCTCGTCAGTGCCTCCCAGGAACATCCCCAACTGCACCATGTAGTTCAGGTACCCAGCAAGCACCTACATCATAGGACAGGGGGGTGTCAGCATGGTGGGTGCCACTCACCCATCATCAAATCCACCTTTCCTCCACCAACCCTACCTTCTCATTCTCTGTCTTGTTGAGGTAGTAATCCCGTGATGGCAGGCCCAACCCTGACTGATCCACCTGGATCACGTTGCTGTTGGAGTTTTTGGAGTCGGCGCTGACGTAGACGGAGAAGAAGGGTGAGGTGCGGTAATGCGCCGTCACCTCCCGCAGCGTCGCGTTGAAGTTGTCACCGGCCCATGGACCTGTGATGTTCCAGCCACCCAGCTGGGGACAGACAGCAAAAGGATTTTGGGTAAGGAAGAACCACTTGGAATTGCTCAAATATCCACCTAATACCTGTCCTGGGGGGAAACTTCTCACAATGGGGCTCAAAAGCCCAGGAGTGGCATGAGCTGCATATAAATCTATGCCTATAGATATTAGATGGGATCTTAAGCTCTTCCCTGTGAGGGTGCTGAGGCGCTGGCACAGGGTGCCCAGAGAAGCTGTGGCTCCCCCATCCCTGGCAGTGCTCAAGGCCAGGTTGGACACAGGGGCTTGGAGCAAGCTGCTCCAGTGGAAGGGGTCCCTGCCCGTGGCAGGGGTTGGGGATGGATGGGCTTTAAGGTCCCTTCCAACCCAAACCAATCTGGGATTCTATGATAAATCCCTGCCTCTCTCTGCCTGCCTCCTCTGGGGGATGCTCTTCCTTCGGAAGCACCCAGAATGGGGTCTGGAGTGTGCTGGGACTGCCCACAAATGAGCTTTTTCCCCCCATTTTGCAGAGGGCAGACAGCTTTTCCCCAAGGAAGGGTCTGAACCTTTTCGATGAGCTCCATGAGCGGGCTGGCGCGCAGCTCCTCGATCTTGCTCTCGTTCATGCAGGCTTGGTAGTAACGCTGTGCCTTGCGCTCTGCCTCGCTCGACACATTGGCCGTGGTGTTCTCTGCAGGAGGTACCCGGGGGGGAGCTCACAGGAGGTCCCATGGGGCAAGCATCCAGCCCCCCCCATGGGCACAGAGCCCCCACTTTCCCACCTGAGAAATATTCAGCCCCATTTGGGCAAAACCAGGCTGAGCTTTGCCCTGGCAGTCCCCTCTGTGCCTCCAAAAGCTTCCCATGGCCCCCAGCCCCTTCCTGGCCTCCTGCCCACATCTCCTTTCCCACCCGCAGGGACTGCTCTGGGCTCCTTGGAGCAGGAAGATAAAGGGAAAACAAAAAAGCACTTTTCCATTAGCTCTGATGTTCCCACCATCACCCAGCCCTCTGCGCTGCCCTTGCCCCTGTTCCAGTGCTTCCCAGCCTGATATTATTTATTCCCGCAGGCAGGAACAATAAACCCATTTTTCTCCTCCTCCAAACCCAACCTTTTATTCCTTCCCCCCCCCCCCTCTAAATTTCTGCCTCCCCAGAGGTTTGGTTTTTATTATCTGACGTTCCTCATGACACAGCTTGCACCTTTGGCTTCCCAGCTGTGTGGGTTTATTAACTAAAGGTCCCTCGGCTCCAAGGAATTCAAGGAAATGCCGAGCGCGACCACTTGGCTGGAGGCCTGGTCCCTTCTCCCAGTAAAACCAGCACCAGATTTCTGCAGGAAGAGCTGGGATGAAGCCGTTCCTGCACTCCCCCCCCCCACCTCTCCCAAAAGACAACACTCTTCCCAAACCTTCTCTTTCCAGATAACCGGCCCCAGCATGGTGGAAAGTGCTGATAAGGAGCCAGTTGTTTGCTCAAAGCTTGAACAAACCGTCCCCGCCGGTCACTTGGATAAGCCACCCCGCTTTGGTGCTCGCACGCAGAGGCTGAGCCTGGGATCCTCCCTCTGCTGAGGGAGCTTTGGTCCCAAAAACCAGATTGGCAGCCAGCCCCCCCCCCCCCCGAAAGCCACTCACAAGGCTGGAAGATAGAGCAGGAGGAAAAAAAGCCCCACATCCTTGGGGTGCTATTGGGGTGTTACATCCTCTGGAAGCAGTCTGGAGGGCAAATCCTGAACTTAAGAGCTCCTGGGAACACCACCACAGGGTTTGCAGAACCAGGGCCAGGACCCTTCCCATACTCGGCACCAAAGAGCTGCAACATCACGGTCAAACATCCCAGGGGCAGCCAGGAGAGCAAACACAGCCAGGATCTGCTTCCCAATGTCCTTGCAGCACATGCGTCACGGACTGGGTTGACGCTGGGATTGAAGTCCAACCTGACATCCCCATGGGCATGTTTTTGGCATCCCCAGACCTAATGGGGTTCCTTAACGCCGCAGGTCCCACCGCTCCCATGTACTCACCCAGCAGATGCTTCATGACGGCCTGGTTGTGCTCCCAGAGGTTGTTGAAGGTGCCCCAGCGCGAGTGCCCATCGGGGAGGGGGTTGGCCTTGATCCAGCCCCCGCAGGCGTAGCTGAAGAAGTCCTCGCAGGGATTCACTGCCTGGTCCAGTGAGCTGAGGATGGAGCTGGTGACAGAGATGCAGGCTTCTGACAGGCACACGGCCGGTGCCCCTGCGGGAGGGAATGATGGTTCAGCTCCTTCATTGTGGTATGATGAGCTTCACTGGGAAGCATCCTGCCCCATGATGAAGGCCAGGTTGGACACAGGGGCTTGGAGCAAGCTGCTCTAGTGGAAGGTGTCCCTGCCCATAGCAGGGGGTTGGAACTGGATGAGTTCTAAGGTCCCTTCCAATCCAAACCAGTCTGTGATTCTATAAAGGATGCGGGCAAACATCCTGCCCTGTACCCTAACACCCCACTCCAGGATGATACAGGCCAGCATCCCATCCCATGCTAAGCATCCTGCCTGCTCATTCCATTCTACGGCAAGGGATGCAGGCAAGAACCCCATTCTCTCCCTAAGCATCCTGCCCAGTGCCCGAGCATCCCACCCTGGGATGAAGGATTCAGGCAAGCACCCCATCCTATGCTCAAGCATCACACTCCACGATAAAGGATGCAGGGGAGCATCCCATCCCAGGGAACCCCCCCAGCATCCCGCCCTACTCAAGGGGATCCCTGCACGGTGCGAGGAGGACTTACGGGCTCTGTACTGGAAGATGAGACCCAGCAGACACGCCACCAGCACGGCCCCCAGCACCCCCACCAGCACCACGAGCTGCTTCTCGGCGCGCGTCCGCTCAGCCCAGCACCCGGGGGCACTCCTCGAGCCGCGGAAGTTCACCTGGGGGAAGAGCAAGGTCCTTTCCCCACCGCTGGAAAACCCCACCGACACATCCCACATTCTGCTTCCTACAGCCCACGGCACCAGCTTGGCTCCCAGCGACGGATCCGGCGCGGTTCGGCCTGGGAAAGGCGGCAGCTGCCTTCCAGAAACTGGCCAGGAAGGGCGGCACAATGGCAGGAAAGGGAGCGGGGTGAGCGTTTCGGGAGGCTCACCTGCTACCCTGTGCCACCCCGAACCCCTCCTTGAGCACGGCCATAACCCCCCCCCGGGCGTCCCTGTCCCTGCTGCTGGCAATGGGACAGGGTGGGGGCCACGGCGGCGGCGGGAAATGCCTTAACAGGATACTCCCACTCGGCCGAAAAACATCCCCAGGAAACATCCCGATGCGCCGGCGAGCGGAGACGGCCCCGTTGGGAAAGCACAAACACAGCAGAGCGCTGGTCTGGGGACAGAAAGCACCATTCCGGGCACAGAACGATGGGGCTGGGAGTGGGGCCAGCACCAAAAGCATCGCTCCAGTGCCAGAGCTGGCACGCTGGCTGCAGTGGGGTTTCTTTTCTTGCCACCCTCAGCCCTTTTTAAGCTGCTTTTCTGCTACTTGGGGAGGAATTAACCTAATCCCTTTTGGATGGGGACAAAGCTCCCACTGCCACCATAATTGCTCAGCCTGGACATGCTGGGAAGGGGTTTGGATAGCAGAAAACTGGGTGCTGGGGCATTGCGAACAGCACCCACAGGCTCAGGGTGCCAGCGGGAGCCAACATGGCTCTGCCCAGACCGGACTTTGCCCCACAGAAAGGCTGATCCCAGGCGGAAAACCCTTCAGCAACCCCCTCTGCTGCTTACCAGGACCTAAAATCCTCCTTTTTAACCCTAAAACACACATAAAACCCTACCTGGAAGCCGTTGGGGTACCCATCACCATCACCAGCTGAGTCCAGGGGGTCTTCATCGTCCAACGTCGCTCGCTTGTAGGTCGACATCTGCACAGGGGATTGGCAAACAGAGGTGCTCAGTGGCTCGGGGTTGAGGAAGAGGAGGAGGAAGGAGGGTAAGGAAGGAATATGCACCCTCTAAAGCCGCCTTCTCCTTGAGGGAGCTAAATCCCGACCGGCTCTGGGGTAGTGAAGCACTCAACAAACACTGGAGGAAGGTTATGGAAAGCAATGAGGGCTGGAGCCAAAAGGCTGAGCAAAGCCCGAACCCGCCTCACGTTCCCCTGGGGCCGAGTTGTGCAACCTCCAGTTCAGCCTGGAATAAAGCCGGGTCCTCCTCCACCGGCCCCGCAGCAGGGTGAGGGACCCCAGGGCCAGGGAACCCCAAGACCTGGGAAGGGCTGGGAATGGAGGAAAAGGGTTTTTCACCCCAAAACTACCATCTCGTTCATGCTCCACACCCTGTGAGCTGTGTGCACCCCGAAACACCCCATCAGGTCCCTCTGAGAACCCAGAAGCGACAGCACCTTGAATTGAGGCTGCCGACGGGCTCCCTCCCTGCTCCTTGTCCCCAGGGCATTATCTTGTGCTGGTGCCTGGCTCTTATCTCATCTCCAAGCAGAAAAACAAGGGGACACCTCAGGGGTTGGCAGCCAGCCCTTATCATTCTGCCGTTTCCTTCCCCCCTGGCACAGCCCTGTCACCCAGCCAGGGAAAACAACCCTCTGCCTGCCCACCGAGGGGGGAAGCACCCCAAAACCCACCCCAACCCCTGCTACTGATGGGCTGAGCGGCACTGGTCACATCCCTTCACCCCCAGTGCAGCGCCTGGTTGGGGTTTGCACCCATCCGGATGTCCCCATCCTGCTGCCATCGTCCCCAAAGGGACACTGAGGTGAGCTGAACCCAGCACTGCATGCCTCAGCATGCAATGAAAGCCCCAGTTCTCGGCCCTGTTTCCTCTACCGGCCTTCCCAAACCTCCTCTCACGCAGTTAACACCGAATCCCATCCTCACCCCTGGATCCCAAATCACAGCCTGGGTTTCAGCAGGCACAAAACCCACCTGGCGAAGGGAAAGGGTTAAAAGAAAAAGGCATTTTCCCTCTTTGCTTGACCAAAAAGCTCTGCTTCCAGCCCCAAAATCCCCCCCTGGTGCCCTGGAACCAGGAGACGAAAACCCTTTCACTGCAAGATGCTATCGCTGCTGAACCCGGGGCTTCAATGATGTATTTTTTCCATCCCCTTTCACTTTTTCCCCTTATTTTCACACTTTGCACATGGCTGGAACTTGCAGCTCTGGGCACAAATCCCTGCTCATTGGGGGGAGCCCCCCCCCAGCTCCAATAGCACCAAATTCCTGGAGTCCCAGCTTTGTGGCCAAAGCTTTCACTCTGTTTCCTGAGGAAATGAAGTTTTTTTCCAGCGATCCCCCCCCCCATCAGCCTGCAAAGAGCAGGGAAAAGGGAAAGAAGGAGAGAAAAACCCCACGTTTTTCCTTTCACTGAGGATGTGCCGGTTCAACCCTGTATTAGACATCAGAGAATCCAAGCTAAGCTTGAACACCCCCCAAAACGCACCGGGATCAACCCCCAGCATCCTTAATAAGGGGAAAATTGGGTATGGGAGGTATTTTTAACACCCATAGTCCACACACATCATTGGGGACATCGGGGCAGTGCAGCACCCATGGGTGCTCCCCAGCTTGCAACAAGGGAGCACCCTTTTTTGGGTCAAAACGGGGTGGGTTTTGTTTCTTTCCCACCCCCCCCCCCCAGCTCTATTTGCTTAAATCACAGCAAAGATTATAAATAAAGCTTTAAGAGGGTTGGGGGCATCCCAAGGTGCTGGGGGGGCAAACACACTTTAACCCCCCAACCCAAAGGATTTTCATTCACTTTATAAGTTACAGAAGTCCTCACGGGGCCCGAAACCCCTCGTTTTTCCCCCAAACCACCCCTCGGCCTCCTAAACAATGAGCCGCACGTGCTCCGAGCCCGCAGGGCCCCAGCACTGTTGCGGGGGTGGGGGGGTGTATGTGTGGACCCCACTGTACCGCTCCCCCCCACTCCCCGCACCGGAGCCCCTCACCCGGCACCGGGGCGCCCCGAGCCGCCTGCGCTCGGCTGCGTTCGGCTGCGTTCGGCTCCCACTCGGGCGCCATTTCGGAGCGGCCACCTCGGCTCCGGCCGCGATGGCGCTTCCCCGCCTGCCCCAGCGCCCCCAGCCCCCCCCAGTCACCCCCGTACCCCCAAAGCTTCCCCCCTCCCCCCAAGCCGAGCAGCACCACCCCCTTCCCCCCCCCCCAGCACCCATGGGTGCCACCTCCACGGCCTGAAGGGAGCACCCATTGAGTCTCAGGCTTCTAATTAGGATGCCCAGGGGGTTATTAGCAACCCCTGGTGTTAATTAGGGGGGATGGCGTTAATTGGGGGTGCGGGGGGGGCACCCAGTTTGGATGGGGGGGAGGGGGGGTTGTGAGTAAAGAAAAAAAGCTTAAAAAGGGTGGAAAAGGGTTAAAGTTTGCAAAATATCAGGGGGAAGGGGGGGAGCTCAATTTGGGGTTGTTTGCAAACACCCCCCCGTTTGCAGCCCCCCCCCAAAAGTGGGTGTTGCTGGGGGGGGGCACCCCTGCACCCCTTTCTATGCAGAGGGAACCCCTGTGGTTTGGGTCAAGGGGTGGGTGCTGGGGGGGTGGCTTGAGGGGGGTACCCCCCTTGGGGTCCCCACTCTGGGAACCCACAAAGGAAACCAGGCTGGGGGGGGGGTGGCTTGTTGTGCACCCAGGGGTGCGATGGGGGTGCAGGGGGGAGTCTTTGGGGTGCAATGGGGTGCTATGGAGGATCCCAAGGGGGTGCTTCAGGGTGCAATGGGCAACCCTTTTGGGGGGTGCTTGGGCATCCTCCCTCGGGGTGGAATGGGGGTTTCTTGGGGTGCAATGGGAGGTCCCATGGAGGTCTTCTGCGTGAACTAGGAGGATCCCATGGGGGTCTCTCGGGGTGCAATGGGGATCCCCATGGGGGGGGGCATGGCCTTCCCTTAGTGGGGTGCATGGGGGTCCCTTGGCGTGGAACGCAGCATCCCCCCGCGCCGCAGCCCCGATGACCTCAGGGGCAGGGGAGAGGGGGGGTCCCCCCGCTCACTCACCATGCTGACACCCCGCTCCCTCCGTCCCGGCCCCCGCTGGGGCCAGCCCGAGCCCGGCGCCGCTCGTTGCGCTGCGGCCTACGAGAGGGTGACGGCGGGTGACGAGCGAGGATGTACCTGGGGTGGGAACACCAATGGGGCCGGGAGGGACGGGCTTCCCCGCGCGCCTCCGTTAACTCTTTCGGGGGGGCCCCAGACCCCATTTTAGGGGTCCCCATGGGCCCTCCCCCCCAAGTCCCTTCGGGCTGCTGGAAGCATCGCCCCCATGAACCAGCGCCGCTTGTGCAAAGGGATGCGGGGAGCGCAAGGGGACAACGCTGCGGGAGCGTTTAGGGCAAGCATCCGGTTGTGCAAGCACCCGAGTGTGCAAACGCGCTCCTCGGGCTGCAGCGCCCCCCCCCCCCAGCCCCCCCGTGTTTAACAGCCCCGCAAAGGGGTTCGGGGTTCGAGCCCGATGCGTTTGCACACTCAGCGAGGTTGTGTCTGTCCTAACGATGAGCACACAGACACCCCAAGCCCATTGCGATGTGGGGGATACCGGGGATGCGGGGGGGCACACACACACACACATACACAGTGCCACCACCGCACCCCATCGGTGGGCTGAGCACCGACACACTCATCTCACCCATGGGGCCGCGAATCGCTTCGCTGGGCTGGGAAAGCACATGGAAAGTGGGGGGGGAGGGGGGCAGGCAAAGGGTCGGGGAGAGGGGTTGCTTGTGGGATGATGGGGGGGGGGTGTCTGCCTGCAGGGGCCGTCGCCCATCCCCGTGGCGTCGGGGCGGCGCTGGCACCCCCGGAAAGCTTTCTCGGAGCGGGTTTGTGTGCCGAGACCGCCACCTCCTGGGCACCCGCTCCCGGCTCCAGGGCACACGGAGCCCCCGCAGACACCCCCCTGCCATGGGGAAACTGAGGCAGGGGCGAGCGAGCCCCCTCCCGCAGTGCCTGGTTTAGTGGACCTACAGTAAAGCCGTGCCCAAGCCGCAGCCCGCGGTGGGAAACTGGGGCACGGGGACCCCCATCCCCATCATCCCTCCTCTCTAAACCGCGCTCGCGCCGCTCTCACGTTTTGGGTGAAAATAACGCCAAATCCGGCAAAACACCCCCCCACGTGTGCGCACCCCCTGCGCGGATGGGGGGGATGCTCAGCCCCCACACAGCCAGGCTTAGGGGCACCCCAGTCCTCCCAGTATAACCCGGCAGAGGGCACCAGTACTCCCAGTTTGTGCCTGCCCCCCCCCCCACCCCCCGCTCCCCGTGCTGGCGGCCAGTGGGGAGGGAGGAGGAAGGGGAGGAGGAGGAGGAGGCGAAGGCCGGTGCGGGGGATTTAAGGGCTCGCTGCGCCCCCGGCCCGGCTCCTCCCGCATCCCGCAGGAACCTGGTGCCGGCCCCCGAGTTTGTGCGGGTACGTGCGGGGGGATCCCCCCCGGGGCCACCCTGTGGGGCTGGGGGTGCGATGGGGACATGGATATGGGGTGGGGACACGGGGGTGCAACAGGGAGATGGGGGGTGCAATAGGGACACGGGCGAGCGATGGGAGCATAGGCAGGGGATGGGGACATGGGGGTGCAACAGGGAGATGGGGGGTGCAATAGGGACACAGGCGAGCAATGGGAACATGGGCAGGGGATGGGGACATGGGGGTGCAACAGGGACACGAGGGTGTGATGGGGACTTGGACATGGGGTGAGGACATGGGGGTGCAGTGGGGACATAGGGGTGCAACAGGGAGATGAGTGTGCACAGGGGCATGGGGGAGGGATGGGGACATGGGGGTGCAACAGAGAGATGGGTGGTGCGATGGGGACATGGACGAGCAATGGGGCATGGACATGGGATGGAGACACGGTGGTGCAAAGGGGACATGGAGGTGTAATAGGGACATGGGTGTGCAAGAAGGATGCGAGTGCAACAGGGACAGGGTGTGTGGTGGGGACATGGGGGTGCAACAGGGACATGGGGGTGTGATGGGGACGTGGAAATCGGATGGGGACATGCGTGTGCTATGGGGACAAGTGTGCAATGGGGACACGGGTGTGCAACGGGGTCAGACGTGCAACAGGGACATGGGGACATGATGGGGATGTGGATGTGCGATAGGGACACAGGCTGGGATGGGGACAGGGGTGTGTGTGCAATGGGGACACAGAGATACGCTGGGGACATGGACATGCAATAGGGGCATGGGTGTGCAATGGGGACATGGGGATGGGACGGGGTCACAGGCACAGGATGGGGATGCAGGATGGGACACACCATGTGATGGGGACTCTTAACGTGCAATGGGGACCCCGCTGCGCCGCGGGCACATCAGGTCCGTGCCATCGCCCCCCACCCGTGGGCTGGTGGCAATGGGGGGGGACAGCCCTGGGGCTGGCGGCACGTCCCCAGGGGGTCACAGCGGTGACAATCAGTGACAGCGCGGAGAGGGACTTTTCCCTCTGTCCTCGCTCGGCTGAGCCCGGGGGCAAAGGTCTCAGTGGGGAAACTGAGGCACGGGGTGCGCGCAGCTCTCTCTGCTCTCCAGCCCCGCAGGATGAAGCTGCTCCTCCTCCTCCTCCTCCTCGCCCAGCTCTGCTCCGCGTCGCTGGTCCCCGGTAGGTGAGGTTTGGGATGGGGGGCGAGCACCCCAAAGGCGGGCACTGTGGGGTGCGATGGAGCCCGGGTTCTCCCGCAGAGATTGAGAAGGACCCCGAGTACTGGCGGGAGCAGGCACAGGAGACCCTGCAGCAGGCACTGCGGCTCCAGCGCCTCAACCAGAACGTGGCCAAGAACCTCATCCTCTTCCTGGGTGATGGTGAGAGCGGGGCACCCACCGGGGGGTGGGAGGAGCTGGGGCTGCAGTGATATGGGTGCGGTAAAGTGGGTGCAATAAAGAGGGTTCTATGGTAAAGTGCAATAAAGTGGGTGCAGTGAACTGGGTAACTTGGGGGCTGGGATAAACTGGGTTTGCAGTGAGTTGGGGGCTGGGATAAATTGGGTTTGCAGTGAGTTGGGTGCTGGGATAAACTGGGTTTGCAGTGAGTTGGGTGATGGGATAAACTGGGTTTGCAGTGAGTTGGGTGCTGGGATAAACTGGGTTTGCAGTGAGTTGGGTGCTGGGATAAACTGGGTTTGCAGTGAGTTGGGTGCTGGGATGAACTGGGTTTGCAGTGAGTTGGGTGCTGGGATAAACTGGGTTTGCAGTGAGCTGGGTGCTGGGATAAACTGGGTTTGCAGTGAGTTGGGTGCTGGGATAAACTGGGTTTGCAATAAGTTGGGTGCTGGGATAAACTGGGTTTGCAGTGAGTTGGGTGCTGGGATAAACTGGGTTTGCAGTGAGTTGGGTGCTGGGATAAACTGGGTTTGCCAT